ATTGATGAAATTGATTGTTGACAACAGTACGTTCCAATCGTTCAACATGCTAAGCCTTTCTCCTGATCGGAGCTGTGTCTGCCAGCGATAATTTTTAAACATAACCGACGAGGAATCACTTTTTTGTAATAGCTCTATACCTAATTATCACCGCTTGGAATGCCAAGATCACTTTCTTTTCGAAGCATTTGAGCAAATAAGATTTTCTAGGTTGAGACGTTCGACTATGGCTATGTTTTTCTCCTAATTCATTTTTCCATTAGTACTCGTCTCCGGGCTCTCTTTCCGTGTTTAGTTCCTTTCATTTCTTTGAAATACTTCATGCGTTCTGTTTTCCTCTCGCTCGCTTCCAATCTCGTTCTTCTTCATGTCAGCCTTTACAATTCATATTTACATAGCAGGTCCAGTTGCCTGGACATCAGATGTGATGTCACTTTTCATTAATGTAGTCTTTGTGAAAACCAGTTGCAAACGCATGTTGGCTAACATCTCTTCCGCTTGACTGACGGTTCTGTCATTAGTACAATGTCATATGTAAACAAAGGCTTTGTTGTGAACAGTCACTCTTTACTCCTACATTTGTGAAGTTCTGGCATCCGATTAACAGCGAAACGTTAAAGTGTTTGAATAACATAGTGGTAGTTTTCGAAATTCGTTGCTCAAAGGTAGGATAACATCCTTCCAGAATGGTGTTGGTCTGTCGTTTAACCAACTTACTATACAGTTCAGAAGAAATCCTTACTGAGAATTATCCCATGCTTATTAAGAACCAGAAAAAAGAAGACTGACTGGAATGGTTTTTCATGACACATAGCTTTACCCTTCTAATCTCCCACCAAAGTGCACATTGTCTAATAGAAAACTTCATTAATTGAATTAGAAACCCGCGTTGTCATCACGTCTTTGTCCCAAGAAAATAAAAGTTCATTCGATTCATCATGGTAACTTCCTATGCTTCTGGAGCCAATGAATGTTGTTAAGATGCTGCAGAATTTCCGCGACAAAGCGGCTTTTTCGACAGCACACGATAGTTCTTCTATTAGTAAGGTGGTTGAGCAGTTAAGAACTTTACGCACTTACAGAGAAGACTTTGCTCTACTCTTAAGATTATATATATTTATATTTTCGAACCGTTAATTCGTTTAGAATTAAAGTTTTCAAAAATTTAGGAACGAAACTCAAATTTTTTGTGAAATCCTAAACATAGGTGGCAGCCGCGAAAAGCAGTTGTGCGTTGAAGAACACCATCATGTTTTGATGGACGGAATCCCTATTGTTCAGTTGCTTTCGTGCTCAAAATACGAGCATTAATGCAAAAAGTAGAAAAAAAACTTCTCTTAGGGTCAAGAAAACCAGAATTTCATTCTGATGAAACTAGAAAGCTTGAAGCTTTTAGACCGAAATCTTCAGATTCCTAGTGTTTTTATTTTGACTAATAAAGCTGAACGTGAGCAGAGTTGTTTGTCGCGAGCAGCAGCTGATTTTTTAAACCTTTATACGTTTGATGTGGAATGTGGATCAGGCATTTTCACACAGCCGAGTTGGTTATGAAGTTGAACAATGCTGTTCGAAGTTCTTCCAACTCTTGATGCACTTTGCTGACAATGTTTCTTTGCTGTAATGCTGTCGTCAAGCTTCAAGAAGTCTTAATGATTAATGTTTGAGAATACAAATGCTGCCATACTCTTGTGAAATGTCCTCCGGTGTATCCATGTTTCTTTTATTGCATAGAGGCTCATTAGTTGCCGTACAGAATTTTCATTGCAGGTGACACTTCAATAAAAAAAACCCTTATTGTTTCTATAGCACAAAAGACCCAAGGTTTACAGCTTCATCGTGGCTGGGAGATGTTCCTGGGTGTAGGGCTGCGACGCACAGCAAGGGATTCATCCCCCGGCACGGTCTCCCAAGCTGAGAACAGTTCCGCCGTTTCCATCAGGAAGTCCAGCTGAGAGTAAACCAATATCAGGATCCACCACCGTCCTGGTATAAAACTGGTTGCATGATGGAAAGTTTTTCTCTGATCCACAAGAGTGGTAAATGACTGCAGTAATGACGACATGCGGCAGACTTTCGCCTGGCTGATCTCGGTACTCCAGAAAAATACAATGACTAAACCAGCAAAATACCGAAAACTTGAGATTATACTGGGCCCGCACAACCACTGACTGTGGGCCGTCTAATTATCCAAGTAAGTATGACGCAAAGGAAGATCAGAACAGAGTTTGTATAGTTGGAATATTCTAATTCAGTTCATGCTGCAAACATCATTCGGCGCTATTTGATTTTATTATTATATTATGGTATTCCAAAGGTCTTCTTTTATGTGCACTTAGTCCTTTCACATGCTCTAGAGATGTTTTAAGTGAATACGCTTCAGATGGCGTCTTCAAGAGATCATCAGTGACATTGGGTCGTACCTTAGTTTTCTGGAATATCTTCTCATCTCCATCGTAGAGCTCCTGAAACGAACCTTAAGCTCTGTCGAATTTCAGTGTTGATATTATGAGTTCTTTTTCTGCTTTGCTCCACGTTTTAATCCATATAAGTCGAAGCTTTTCGAATTTACTTGCTTTCCACTTTTGCAACAAAGAAAATCAGCAGTGTAAAATGTGAGGCGAAGCCTGCGCTTTAATTCGCATTCACTGTGGGTACAAAGGAATGAAAATTTAATTGGAACGAAGATATCACAGTCAGAAAAAGGGAAACCCAAAGTAGTAATCTGAGCGCTTTAGTACCAGCGAGTAGTACCTTTGACAGTGGCAAGCACCTTTGTAGTCTGAGAGTAGTTGGCGTTGCATTTGTAACTCCTTCAAAGCTGTCAGAAAGCAAGATAAAAGAAATAAGTCGAGGTTTTAAAATGAGCTAAGTAGCCTTCTTTATTTGAAAGGAAACCCCTAGCAGTATCAGTATCCAGTGGTATCTAAAATTCAGAATAAGAGCCAAGTATAGGTTTTCAGTGAGATGACTTGAATCTGGTGGTTACGGACAGACAGATGTAAATTAGTGAAATGTGTTTAGTTTGCTGCTTACTGGAGAGACCAACCGTTGATATGCCTAACTTGAAATAAGAAATAGTAGGTTGTCACGAGTGGGATATTTTTGTAATTGCCGTGTTCTTTATGAACGACCCCCCCCCCCTTCTCTTGTTCTCAAATTATACCAATAGACAGAGGTGTTGAGTCTGCTTAATTTGTGTAATAATGACAGGTGTGGTGAAGGAGACACGCTATACAGGATCAGTCAGTTTGTCATACTCGTAAACAAAAGTTTAGATTTGGCCAAAATCTTTGTATGAATAAGTTCACCATGTCTTTTCGAAAAAAAATTGGCACTCCGACAATACGTCGCACATAAGAGACATTGCAAAACGTATAGATGCATAAGTTCAGGGGCGAAATCCATTCGAGTTTATTTCAGACGAACAGAATGCATGTGTTCAAGAAAAGCCCTCAAGTAACCGTGTTTTCAAAGGGGCCGTTAACGGTCAAAGAAATAGAGACGTCTGAACCGTTACGATAAGTGCGGATGTTGTGAAACCAAATTTCCCGAAATCTATGTCTAAAACGATGTTAACTATATAGTCCACAAATGTAGAAGTTAATCCGTATGAAATTGCTGAGATATTTGCAAAACTCCGGACCGCAGGTGTATGCAGTGGGGAACGAACACGCGCTGTTGTCCTTACCGGGGAGCAGCGCACTTCACCACTACACCATCCGGGTCCTTCGTCTTGCCTGCCTGTCTCAGTAAATAAAAAGGGTAGAAGTTAATGTAAAATCTTTGTGTTCAGCATTGAAAACAATAGTGAAAAGTAATGAGAATAAGGATAGATAACTTATCGTTTTCCAAAATCCATTGTACCCACTGATAAATGCGCCCTTTGTGCACGCAAAGCTTTCTTCATGCTACAAACCCTGTCATTCAGTGGTTTCCCATTACGGCAGTAATGTGTCCTAAATTTCAGTTTTTGCGTAGTATTTCGTGTAGAATGCAGCTTTTCATGGTCTTCGCCAGACACTATCTCTGCGATGGATAAGCTCTCTGAATTGGAAAACTCAAGCGGCCCCAGTGGATTAATTACACGGGACTAATATCAATTCCGCTACGAATCTTACTGATTCTGAGTGTGCTAGGATTTTAGATAGAAGGATTTTGAAAGATACTGATATTTGAGTACACTCCGACTTAAATAAGTACTCATTTAAGTGGTTGGTGATTATCTAGTATAAGGGCAAAAAGAAAGGATAAAGGTTTTGTTGATCAGTCTCTGAAGGATACGCCATGCATTCAAGTTCATTAAGGGGAGGTGACTGAGTGCATGTCTGGCCTACTCAAGGACTCCCAATGGCCTACAGATGTATCAAGTCAGTGGTGCTATCCTCCCAGACAAATATAATCCCAAATTTGCCCAGCCCGGAGGTATAGAGAACTTGGTAAGCTCAGTTCGTGAGATCGCACGAGTGGCTACGTGTGCATTGCTGGGCACCTCTAATCAGTACACACAAGTGCCCTTGTTCTAGTGCCTCATGAAAATTCCGAAGGCGGTGTTTCCAATTCAACAATTCCAATGCCACGGAGGCTGGGACTCATTCCATGTGCATTGCAGGGCGCCTCCGACCACTGTACTACACGCGCTCTTCACATGAAGCACCGCAAAACTTCCATTGTTGGAGTAATGCTCCAAGAAAATCATTCCTATGGAGTGGAACCATTATGGTCCTGACGTCATTTTGCGGAATTACATTACGGAAGTACCGTGTTTGATACCGCCATTTACAGTTCATACATAGGTTCCTCTATGTCACAGTGCCCGATCGAGCGAATGTTTTGCGTTGTGGTTGTTTTGTGCTTTGGTTTTGTTATCGAACAGATTTCGCGTTTTCCCTCACACCAGACAGCTCTGTCTCGAAATCACTTCGCTCTCTTCAGGATCGTGCAATGGTATTGCGGAATTAAGCTGGCCGACCTTCGGAGTGCACTGAGAGAAGAGAGGCCAAATGGCCAAGGAGTTCCAATTCAACTGGCGCCCAAACGTGCCCACTCTGCTGCAACACGGTTCGATTTTCGATCGCTACGACGACGTAAGTGCAGCCAGTGTCCTTTTCAGGGCATTCATTTCGTGTTTTTATTGAAAATTTTGGGTTATTATTGAGATCATGGGAAGAAAATCTGCCCAGTTGTACCTTGAGCTAATCTCTGTTGAGAAAGGCTTTTGCAGAATTGCGCCAGTGTTTGTAGCGAAGCATTCTTTCCTGTCAGTGAGCTCTAGGTTTTTCCTTTTAATTCCACAGAATATGTATTGTTATAATAATGTCGTTTATCTATGCACCTTCCTATTTCATAGTAACAGTAGATAGCCTTGGAGAATTGTTGGGTTAAGAAAGATAAAGCTCTCGGTGTTGATCAATCTCTGAGGGATGTGCCATGCATTCGACTTCATTAGGCATCGTTGGTGATTGATTGCGTATGTGGCCTTTCCAATGACTCGCAGTGGTCTGCCGATGTATCAAGCCAGTGCTGCTATCCTCCCAGACAAGTCTGGTACTAATTTACTGACCTCAGAGGAATGGAAAGCTTGACGGGCAAGGGGCGTGGAAATCGATCCCATGTGTATTGCACGGCGCCGCTGACCACTGCGTTACATGCGCTTTTCATATCACAAGAATTTGTATTACAATCAGTACCTCAAGCATCTTCTTCAGGAGAGTACATCCTTGGAAGTGAACGCACTTGTGAAAGTTGATGAATACGGGTTCTTTCTCTACTGGCTGATCGAGTCAAGAGATGCAGTCGTTCTTGACATGGGCCAAGTACGTACGACTTTGTAGCACATTGTTTTTAAACTGGTTCTTTTGTTTGTTTTTCAACTGGCTCTTTTGTTTCTCATGGATATCTTCCTGGGTTTTTTCTACATTTTGTTCTTTGTTATACAATTTGGTGCAAGAAACTTCGTTAACCAAATTAGTCATATTTTAAGAAGCTCACAGCAAACAGTTTCTTTGAACTTTCTAGTACTATTAGTTTACTTTATGTGCTTGCAAGTGTCTGAGCGATATGTTAAGGTCTGGGAAGCGCGTCCATGCGGCTTACCAAAGGATGGTCGCGTTTTATTCGAGCTCGAACAAAGGGGGCCTCGCGAGACCCTAGAAGAGCGTACGATATGGATAACTCACGGACAGGACCTCGTTAACGTTCAGAGTTTCTATCTAGTAGCAGAGTCTCTTGAAATAGCTAAGGTAAGTGTAACTTATCAGATCATGCCCACTGTAAGTTCTCCTAGTCTGCTCTTCATTACTGTGCCTATCCTGCTGGTCTTGTGTAGTGTATTTTCATAACTGTTCAGAACCCTGAACCGTATTTTGATTTCAGACATGGCGGATAGGTATAAATGAGATTTTGAGGAATTCCAAGACCCGTCACGTCTGCCCAACAACGAATCTTCTGAGATAGTAGGTTTTTGTATTTAACTAGGTGCACTAGTTGAGTTTATATACGTTTATTCATTTCAAAGTAGACATTTTTTAAATTTCTAACGCACCAATACGAAATCATTTTGGCAGACTCGAATAGATAGTTCGTTCTTGATTGCCTGTACGCTTTTACTGGAAGCTGTTAAGATCTTCAGTATTTCCTTGTTGGGATAATTTCTATGCTTTTCACTTTTTTCTTGTTTCTGAATAACATTTCATATATGTTTCACTCTCCGAATAGCCCGCAGAGGAGGTATTAGATCAGTTTTTCGAAGTATATCGCGAAAATTAAGAAGTCTTTAAGATCAAGTTATCGAACTGTAGTCTTTTGATAATATGCATGTGCTTCTAGCTGGAAATGGTTGACATTGAGCGTAAATGATCGACGGAAGATTCCGATCAAACTGCTAGTGAAAACATTCTCATCAGGTAAACCAGAAAAGATGGTGCTCAAGTGTCTCAGCGATCTTGGTCTATGTGGAGATAAGGTAAACTCTTCTAAGCATGTTTCGAATAACGGATCCATTAGTATAGAAAACGCATTTGCCTACCATTGCTCTCTTAACAGTCATTGTTAACAAGTTTCATGGCTCCTTGACTGGCGCAAGGTGAAGCTAGTAGTTTTAGTATCAAAAGTTTTGGCTGAAGTTTTACTGTATTTCGTCCATCAAGCCTACTAATACCAAAAGACGACTACTTAGAGAAAGTACAGCAAATGTTGTTTAAAAATGGGGGAAGGGGGGAGGGGGGGTAGATAAACATTCTGCCATATTTAAGTAGGAGTTCCAATGTCGATAGTGAGTGGTAGTAACGTTAGCACTGATGAAACTTCTGAGCGAAGTACTGTCCATATGAGCAATCGTGGCACGCATCCATCGTGCTTCAGTTTTAGCATAATACTTGAATACTTGAATGGCCCGTCTTCACTGGTTGTGCGCGCCTCAGCATTATTTCCACTTTCTCGGAAATTTGCTGATTTACCTATTATTTTTCTTTGAAGTCCCGAGGTTAGTCTGGGCGAAGTCCGCCCGGGATCGTCACCACCACAAACAGTCGCCTCTCTTGTGGATCGGAGGGAGATTTGTCATCACGTGACTACTTTGATACTAGGAAGTTGCTGGATCCCGCTATTGATTTACGCTTAGTTGGCCTTCTTGATAGAAACGCCAGACTCCTCAGCTTGGGGAGACCCTCTTGGGGGATTAATCCCCCCGCTGTACATTGCAGCCTGACACCCCAGGAACACCTCCCAGCCACGATGAGGCGGTAAAGCGTTGGGATGTTTGCCATAATAACCTTGTTTAAAGGAGAGTATCATGACAATGACTAGTTTTCTTCAAAATAATCCCTAGTGCTTATTGGTTTTGCTTAAGTCTTCAATGGTAACAAGAATTTCATATCAGAAAAATTCTTGGTGCTTACGCATTGATGAGCTATTACATCGCAAGAAATCAGTTATTAAGCCAATAAGAGTTTGAGTAGAAACGTAGATAGTATGGATAAAACCTTCAATATTTATGAACATCAACCAATTTCACATGACCCGCTGGGTGCTGCTTCAGTTTCTTTACCCTTCTTCACTCTCTCCGCACGCGTATATATATGAATGTATTTATGTGTACATGTGTGTACGTATGTATAAACATGTATAAATGCGCATATGTGTCTATACACATATACGTATATGTGTGTAATATATTTATATATATATATATTGCATACGTGCATGCATGCATAGCAATGCATAAAATCGATATACCGACAATGTGTATGCACACGCATGAGCACATGGCTTTCCTGCATGGTATCGAAAATGTGATGTGAGTCGAAGAGCTGCGTTTCGTAGTTAAATAGTTGCGCTTATATGCGTCAAATAGGACTTGAACAGTGAAAGGTTTTGTTTGATTTTGTTGATCATCGTATATTTTTTACTAGCTGGAGGAATTAAGGGGAACATTTTATAGTCTGAAATAGTGACTCTTGTGGTTATGGCTTACGATCGTGTTGTGATTGTGCTGTAGTTTGTAGTACATCGTTCCACGAGTCATGAACCATTCCATGAGCAAGAAGATCAGCAACATTTACAAGTGCAGCAACGGCAAAAAGAAGAAGGTGCATGAGTGTTGATTTATTCGATTTTCCTTTTCAATGCTTTGATTCAGTTGAGTGTAATGTGGTGCTCCTTCTTAGATGTTTTAGCCTGAAACGATTTTAAATCGTGATGTGTAGATAACACTGTATCGTACTCATATAGCGTGTGGTGCAGTGGTCGGAGACGCCCTGCAACATACATGGGGGATCTATCCGTGCACCTCTGACCCGCCAGGTCTTCCATCCTTCTGGAGTCAGAAAATTGGTGCCAGACTTGCCTAGGAGGATAACAGAACTGTCTCGATACATCGGTAGGCCACCGCGAACCATTGTAAAGACCAAATATGCTTTCACTCACTTCCAACGATGCTTGATGAAGTCGTGGACACGGCGCATCTCTCAGGGATTGATCAACGCCGAGAGCTGTTTTTAGAGCTTTAGAAGTTATAGGCGTTCTACTAAATGGCTGTGTATGTTTGATTTATTCTTGCGATATGTTTCAGTTCTTTTTTTTCAGGAGCGGGAAGAGTTAGACGTTGAGGTGTTAACTTTTGAGAAGTTTATACGTTTGTACAACAAGATTTGTCCACGTTCCGAGGTTCAGGAGCTTTTCGTGAAGTTGTAAGTTTGTCCCCAAGGCGTCTTTGTTCTATTCTTGGTTTTTATATTGGTGCTCTCTTGAACCGCCTTCTTGTACAGGAGCGGTCAGAAGGAGTACTTGACAAGAGACAGGCTCACAAATTTCCTTAACGAAGAGCAACGCGATCCTCGTCTGAATGAGATTCTCTTCCCATTCTTCGACAATACTCGGACGCAAATATTGATTAGTAAATTTGAACAGGACAACAACTACATAGATAATGGTACCGTCTAGAAATGATTTTTTGATTTACTTACTTATTTGGATACTTGGACGGCGGTTGTGCAGGCCCCAGCATAATCTCCATTCTTTTGAGATTTGCCGCCTTTGTGAATCAGAGGGATATTTACCACCATGCGAGTTCGATACCAAGATGGTGGTGGATCCTGGTGTTGGTTTAGTCTTAGCTGGGCTTCCTGGTGGAAACACCGGGCTCCTTCTCAGCTTGGGAGACCCTAATTGGTGGAGTGGGGTTGATAATCCCCTTTGTACACCCCATTCCGACACCTAGGAATACCCCTCAGCCCCGATGAGGTGGTAAACGGTTGGATTTACACTTGCTTTTCTGAAATCTGTCTTTTCAGTTCACGTGCTACACATGTTTTCTAGGGAAGATGTCTGGTGATGCTTTTCTTCGTTTCCTGATGTCAGATGAGAATTCTCCCGTATTTCTGGATCGAATTGATATGTATCAAGATATGGACCAGCCACTATGTCACTATTACATAAACAGGTGTTGGCTAACAGTTGTGAAAGCTACTCACTTTTTATCTGTGACTATGTCTCTGTCTTTTTTTCTAACTGTTTAACTAATGCAACAGGTGCTTGTAGAGTAATCTTAACATTTAAGCTCCCACAACACTTACTTAACGGGTCGGCAGTACGGAGGAAAATCTTCTTCAGAGATATACCGTCAAGTTTGTCTTAACAGTGGTCATATTTTCTGAATAGTCTGTCCATGAATGCAGTCAGAGAGTGAATATTTAGGTTCTACTCTCAGGCTGTCGCTGCATTGAGCTGGATTGTTGGGATGGCACGGGGGAGAATAAGGGAGAGCCAATTATCACGCACGGGAAGGCAATGTGTACCGACGTGTTTTTTAAAGTATGAAAGGAGTTCCAGTAGTTCACTTATACTTGGAATTTTAGTTAGCCCTTTAATTGAGATTGTAGGTAGTTGCGAAACACACTTCTTCTAACCGGGTACGTATTGGTTCATCTTTTAGGATGTCCTCTATCAAATCCGTGATACTGCATTCGAACGTTCGGAATTCCCAGTGATCTTGTCGTTTGAAAATCATTGCTCAAAGTCCAATCAGCTGAAGATGGCAAAGTATTGTGTGGATATTTTTGGAGATATGCTTTTAACTAAGCCTCTGGACGATTATCCTGTAAGTTTTTATTCAACTGTTCATGGCACATGGTCTTTTTGATTTTCTTGATTTTCATCGGCTAGTGTTAAGTGTATAAAATGAAATTGTTTACGATTCTATGAAACTATTCATACCATTTCTCCTTTAAGTTTTCACCTTTGAATATTCCATTTATTTCTTTAGTTAGATCCTGGTGTACCACTGCCTTCTCCAAATCGCTTACGTCGGAAGATCTTGATCAAGAACAAACGTTTGAAGCCAGAAATTGAGAAGCATCAGCTCGACCAGTTTCTTCGTGAGGGAAAATTGGACGAGGAGGACGAAATTGTCGAAACCCCTGAAGTGGTTGGAGAGGATACTGTGTCGCTTCGTTGGTTTTTCCAATCTATACGCATGTCAGATACCAAAGAAATGGTGTAATTATGGAGGCCTCGCTATTTAGTAGATACACAAAAACCTTCTTTCTGTTTCATTTTTACTTATTAGTTGCTTATCCACCATAATTCTTTGCGTTTGTTTTGGCTTTTGCTGCTGAGTTCATTTATACTTACTTACTTGGTTACTTGGATGGCACGTCTTCACTGGTTGTGCAGGCCCCAGCATAAACTCCATTTTTCGGTGCTTCACACGTTTAGCTATTGTGGTTCCCTGGAGTCCTGAGGTCGGCCTAGCCAAATTCAGGCACGGTTGCCACCACCCTGGGTGGTAGCCGCCCTTGTGGATCGGAGGGCGATTTGCCACCGTGCGACTAGTTTGATACCAGGACAGTGGTGGGTCCTGGTATCGGTTTAATCTTAAGCCGCCGGGTTGCCTGAAGGAAATGTCGGATTTCTCAGCTTGGGAGACCCTGCAGTGCGGTTGAGTCCCCTTGCTGTACATTGCAGCGCGAAGCCTAGAAACACCTTCTAGCCGTGATGAGGTAAGCTGTTGGAGGGAAGTTCATTTACAGTTTCTAGATTGCAAAGGAGCTTTGAGGAGCTGCTCATATTTGCTTCTATTAATGCTAGCAATATAGTAGCTTCATTCAGTTCGTGCACATGAGTGTTTTCTTTTTTTTTGAATGTTTTTTTTTAAGTCGTCCAACTATTTCTGCATAGCCTCTTTTCGAAGATTTATCCTACATTTCTATTAATAACAAGATTTTGTTTAAGGTGGGCGAATTTCGTAAATTTAGTCGAGAGACTGACCATTCCAGAAAGTTCAGCCGTGGTTTTAACTTTAGGATTTGGATGATGGTAGTTCAGGATCCAATCCTTCACAAACCGTTTCCAGCATTGTTCCGATTACACGTAATCATACTCTATAGAATAACTTATTACGGTGTAATTTTCTTCGTATTTTTGTTGAGCAAACGCGAGGTGTTATTATTCTTTGTTCACGATTAAGCTGACGTTTCGGCGGATTTCGCCTTCCTCAGAGCCTGGAAAGGTCAAGTTGATAGCAATCTACTCGGCCAGACGCCTCCATAACCAAACAGAGAAGCTCTAAACCAAGATTTCAATCACATTGAACACAGCTTTGCACACTCACCGCTTCCTATGAGGGTTCCACTAAGTATGTCACGTAGAGACCAACCGCACAGAAACCACATGGAAGTATAATGTGCCCCTCCCATCAGAATAGCAGTTTTATATACTGCCCTATATCACGCGTGATAATGAGGCATTCTTCCCTGCGGTTCATTTTCGGATCAATGCCGAGGTTAATAGAAAGTTGGTCGTGGCAGTTATTACGGTGTTTTGTTATATTTGGCGATTAATTGTATTTATTAGTATTTTATTAAATACCTCACAAGAAAAACAGGCCCTCCGTATGCTTGGATATTTACTTGGATACTTGGACGTCTCTTGCTGATTAATTGTGCGGGCCACAGCGTAATCTCCATTTTTCGGATTTTTGCTGCCTTAGCCATTGTGGTTCCTTGTGTTCTAAGGTCAGCATAGCCAAAGTCTGCCCCAGGTCATCATCACGGGAAGTTAACGCCCTATGGATCAGAGGGTGATTTGTCACCTTGCGTCTGGTTTGATACCAAAGCGGTGCTGGATCTCGGTATTGTTTTAACCTTAACTGAGATTCCTAATGGGAACTCCGGATTCCTTTGAGTGCGTTGTACTTAATGTTTTTCATAGTGAGAATCATCATTCCTAGACAGAGAACAATACTCATGGTGGAGTACTATACTCATGAAGTAGAAAGAATTATCCATTCAATGCCGAGGTTATTAGAAAGTGGGGCGTGGGAGTTAATACTCGTGGTTTTTCTTTTTCTAATTCCTCATAGCAAGTATTTTGAAAATAGGAAAAGTATGGAGTCTTTTGCAGAATTTTCATAGGTAATGTTTTAAACCCCTTAGTTCTTTCAGAAACGGCTGTCCTGTCTTATCGCATCATCAAATGATTTGGTGGTGAAGTTTTCTTTTAGCGTTTTGGCAATATTTTATCTATTTATTTGTGATTTGAGCAAATAGCGATGCCTAATCAACTTTATAGAAAGGGTTGCGACCATAAGTAACTGGTTGACTGGAGCTGAGGAATGCATTTCGTGCTTCCTTTTTTACAAACTCAAATTAGGAGTGTTCTTTTTATCACTTTTTCAATCGTTATTAAGCTTTGAGTGAACCCGAGTTGGGTAAAGTTCTTAGCTGGCAAATTTTGTTCCATTATGAGGGCTAAATATCTGTTGTCAAGTAGCATGTCTAACCTTGGTTGTACACAGATACCTTTTTGCTTAGGTTTTTTTAAAATTCACTTTACCTTACTGCTTTTTTCCTGATATCCGTTACCCATTTTTTACTTGTGCATGGGAGTCAGACATACCTGCTGTAGAGAAAACGTGTTCATTATGGTATACTTGACTTATTGAATACAATTGCTATTCTTCACATGGGAAAGGAGCGAAATGATTTAGTCGGCTGCTGCGAAGAGGAGGATGCAGACGAGACCTCCGATGAAGACGACGCTTCGGTGCAGTCGTCAACGAACGTCGGCTCGTCGACACCGGGACGTCCGTCTCCGTTATCCCTGGATTCTTCCCCGGTGCAGTTGGCTTCGCAACAGCTGCTGAGCCCGCTTGATCGTGCTCTCAGCTACAAACTCGTCATTCGTTCTCCACGTTTCGCCTTGCGAGCGATTTCGATGAAAAGCCGGCACATGCCGTCCTTAGGTGCGTATGTGTGCACATTTTAGAGGTTCGCATTTGGCGGCTATGAACGAACGACATTCTCTTGTTTTGTAAATGTGCTATCAGAGGAGCCGGAAAATGCTTCATGAAATTTCATGCTTTCCAGAGCTTAAATTTAGTTCTTTTATCTCGACTTATTTATTCTGCAGGGTTAAGCAATCGTGCTTGTGTGTCATAAAATGTAAGAGCCGGACTTCTTCTTTAGTTTCCACTGCAGACACATTGGCTGCTCACAGAACTGGCGAGTAACACTTGGCGTAGTATCTGTCAAGCTTTTTCTTATTATTAGAGCGCTTTTATAATTTTACAGCTTGAAATTTTGGGATACTGCAATAAATATATCGTGAAAATTCCGTGACACATTTTCTGGGCTCCAGCTGTAAGTTTCGAAAAGAGCTATGCACTTTGTACGCCCAAACCTGTGGAGTGAGCATCTTGTGTCGTGTCTCAAAAAGCCACGTTTTCTTCGTCTTGTGCCTACTTTGTTTTGTTTTATTTTGGTCTCTTTCCTCATTTCCAAAATAAGTCCAACACATTCCTGAAGACGCCTGATTTTGCATGACGACGTCTTGTGATGATTTGCAATTTCCCGCAGCACGCAGTATGAGTCATATTTGACTCGATTGGTCCATGAATTGTTATATGCATGCATCACATTTGCGTATAGTCTGTGTATACAACGGTATCCGTAATTCTGTATTGTTGATGAGTGTTATTTACGAAAAACGAGATTAGCGACTTATTGTAAATTTCGGAGTTTTATATTTTTTTTGTTAACAATTTTTTTTTTAGTAGAGCAATGTATGAAGTTGGTATATGTTAGAAAAGTCTAGAGTTCTGATTTATCTGAGAAATGAAGAGTTTGTAGTTTTGACCTATTTCTCTATTCTTCTAGTCTTTCCCATGTGTGAGTCTTAGGAATGATTTAGAAAGAAGTTTCAGAATTTATTTGACTTTAAGATACTCCAAACTAAGTATTCGACGGGTAGTGTTGTAAACAGTATTCTTGGTACATACAGTATCACATGCATCCTAGTCGGAGTCTGCTGTTTGTAGTGCATTCCATTCATGCCTTCTATTTTATCACGCACAAGTTTTCGCTATACTTCTTCTGTTCAGCTGATAGCTTACAAACATTGTATGAAACGTATTTAAAATCTGTTCTGTGTACTTAATAATGCACAGTACACTACTTATCGAAGGTGGTTTGTTTTTTGGCGCACTCTGGGGAGATTACTGATGTCCTGCTGGTGTGAAAGGTACTAAGCTATATTGATGAAGGGACAAAGACCGCTTGTCACTGGGCTTCTACAGTGTATCGTCGGGAAAACGGGTTCTCGGGAAAGGTTCTAAACACCACTATGTTCAGATAAAGGTATAAGTAGAGGTTTTACTAAAATGACGAACTATACACAAAACACTGTGTGAAGGCGACAAGCAAAGGCACGTGGTTGGACTAATGATACGTCGTTTTTATCAGGCCTAAGAGTCAGAGGAGTTCAAAAAATGTAGAAAGATGCATGCAGCTTCGTATGGAATATGCAGAGCAGACAGAAATAAGCAAAAATATATGCACAAGACTCCAACTATGCAGCGAAAATCGCAAGGGTCATTTCTGGAAGAGCAGATTGAGTTCTATGCAAACCGCCTACCTCAAAAAACGTAGGCATGCTCGCATGTGTTCTGGAGAGCTGGATGGCATTAAAGTGTGATGTGGTCCTTAGTTAAATATTGTGGAGCCTCCTTGTCTGCTGATGTGACGTGGTATTACGAAATAGTTTTAACGCATGTCTCATCATTCATCGGTTGCACAAAGCTTTACTGGATTGTTTTAGATAAATTGACGAATGCAAAGGTTTGAAATTGTGTTGTTTCAGAGGGTAGTGTTAAGTAGTAATTTTTCAGTTGTGGTTGTCAAGGGCATTTATATTCTATCTATTGTTTCAGTCGGCGATCAGCGAGCACATCCAGAAGTTGACCAATCATCTGTCACCCCTTCAGTTGTGAAACCGCCTTTACCTGGTAGGTTATTTTTTTTTTTTCTCTAGAAGCTCTTTTCTAAGCCGATTCAATAGTTGTTTTAATAATACATTACTTTTCATAGTTTAGGGTCACTCGTTCCGATACCACCCATAGTTTCAGGGATTTAAATGCTATCACATCGAATTCTTTAAAAGTGGCCGTGATTTGAGGACAACGTTCTGTGCTTTTTCAAGCTTTTTCTAGTGTTTTTACTTTTCTCCCGTCGTTGAGAATGGCTCTTAGTATAACTGCCAGTGTTATAAAATCTTACTATCGTCCATTTTTTGTTTTGAGCAAAGAATTTCCAATTTTTTCAATATGAATTCTGCAAAGATCATTACGATTAACTGGAACGTTAGCACTGTGCCAGACAAGCTTCATCATTTCGAAGAGGAAGATTTGCTGTGGTAGTTTACTGATGGCAGTACACTAGCTTGTTGTTCAGCTGGTTCGTAAATTCATTTTTGTATCAGGTCTTACAGCTTATTTCAATATCAGTCTTAAACGAAAACGTATCGTTTAAAGGTTGTCATCTTGTCAAGGCTTATGGCTCGACGTTTACCATAGAGCAAGGGAAACGCTCTCGGCGTTGATCAATTCCTGTGGGATGAGCCATGTTTCCGATTCTGTTAATCATCATAGAGCTGGTTGAATGCATTTCTCGTTCTTAGAGACGTCCGCGGGCATGTAAAATCATAGTTTTTATCTTCCCAGACATTTCTTTTACCAATTTACCCACACCAGAGATAGTAACGCTTTATTCTTCTTGAGATTGAACCAACAACAACGTCTACATTGCTCGGAACCTCTAACCATTACGTTACAGGTTTACATGACATGCCTTATAACACTCTTAATGTTGTTGAGGCAACAATATGTTCAAGTTTGCGTTATAAAAAGAGATATAGCTCTCGGTGTTGGTCAATCTCTGAGGGATGTGCCATGCATTTGACTTCATCAAGCATCATTAGAGGTGGTCACATGCATATCTGCCCCTTACAATGACTCGCGGTGGCCTACCGATGTATTGAGTCAATGCTGTTATCTTCTTAGACAAATCTGGTACTAATTTGCCAACCCCCGAGGGGTGAAGGGCTTGCTGGGTCTGGGAGGCGGGGATCGATTTCATGTGTATTGCAGGACGCCTCCGACCACTGGGCTACACGCGCTCCTAGTGTGCTAAGTGCTCAAACGTCATCATTTCTGATATGGATTTTAGTAGCGGATTTTGTTATGAATTTTAGTATAAGAGTCGGCATCAGTAGAAGGTACGCTTGCATATGCACAATGTGCGGATTGTTCGAAAATTTGCATATCAGAAATATGGATTTCGATGAGGAAAACGGTCGTACTCCCTCATCGAAATTTGACGGTGATCATCTGAAGGCGATAAGCAAAGCCGATTGTTTAAAAATTAGTGAAAATGTTGCTGAAGAACTCTATATTAACCACAATTTAGTCGCACTTTATTTACTGCCTATTCTTGTTTTATGGTGGGTGTGACGTGAAACATAACCATAATGGTGCTAAGAGGGTAGTAAAGGGTTCTATCCCCAACTCAGACACGCAGACACCTACGGTCTGCAGTTTTGCACATATTTCAGCATGATTATGTTTTAACCGCCCAACAATAGTTCACCAGTCAATTATTGATTGCTGTGGGAAAAAGATCGATAGAACTAGCTGAGAGACAGGCGGAACGAAGGACCCGCATGGTGTTGTGGTGAGCGCGTTACTCCTAGCAAAGGATAATAGTGCATTCGTTCCCCACCATAGACACCAGTGGTCCAGAGTTTTGCAAATATCTGAGTAACGTTGTGATTGTATTTCCCGTAGTACCCTGCCGTGGAAATTGTAGTAAGTAGAAAATAAAACGTAAAACATAATAATATATCATTTCAAACGGAATTTGAAAACCGGAATAGTCGTTAAGTGGTGTCATATTGATAGATAGGTCAACGGAGAGGTCGTCGTTGTGAAGTGTGCCATCTCTTCTTTAATGCGAAATGAAACTATCCATTTCTCGATCGTTCTGCGATGAAAGTAGATTTTTTTGGTATAACCGAAAGCATACAGAGCAATGACTAAACCAAAATGAAGCTCCCAAGTACCGTGCGAAGCCAAATTTTCAGCAAAAGAAAGTAATGTGCAGAAATTTAACGATTTAGACTACGAAATCCAGCGCACATAGCAGCTGATCACTGAAAAATGTTCAACAACCAGGCTGCTTCTTAGTATATCCCAAAATACTGATCGCTTTTAGAACTTCAAAATTCTATGCTACAGGAGTAACTTTACATATTTTAGCGGAGATTTGTTGATTTTAGTAATTGTTGCTTTAACTGGTGGTTGGTGTAACACAGTGGTTAGTGATGCGGTAAATCAGAAAGCAAGATTCCGGTCCTACTACTTTCTAATGCTCTACTCCAATCTACATAAGATCGCCCTAGCTCGGCTCTCTTCAAAATTTTAAGGAGAGTCGACCTATCCAGCATTCTACGACATCCATAAAGAAAACAAAATTTTCAAGCAACAGCTTAAACAAGGCGAGAAAAACGATTTGAAAGCAAGAAGTGCTGAATCCGCACTGTAGGTTTGATGACGAGTCATGTAAGGGTAAAAGTTTGAATACAAATCTTTTAATTAATGAAGTTACTTTATTTTTGATCTAAATCGTACGATTTCAAGTTAACCCTTCAAAATCCGCCATTATTTTTGTACCAATGCAGTGATTACTTTATTTCTACTTGTGTTGGTGGTCCTTTTGAGTAATGGAATGTTAGGCGTTTTGAGTGCACTCATTTTTCAGGCGATCCTGTGCAATGTAAGGAAATCGACGAGGCACATCCTGAACTTAAGCAAAACTTCATATCGAAAAATTTGAAATCACTCGGCTTTTCCAAGAAACAGGTGTGTTTCTATCTTACCGGTTTTTTGTTCTCACGGGAGAGTGCTGTGCTGCTAATATTGCTTGTTGCTGAGGACTTCAATGATGCACCTGTTATAGCTCGTTAAGTATGACAACTGCGTTTTTCTCTTCTTGGACTCATTCCAGGGTTTGACTGATTGCAGTTTTCATGTGTAGGCGGATAAAGTGTGTAGAGCGCCGAATGCAAGTCGTGATTAAGAACAAAACGTTCGTAAAATCCGTGCATAACTATTGGTTTGTGGAACCGGGGCCAAATATCATGCAATGAGAATAATTTCCATTTTATGCTTTATGGGACTTAAGCCTTGACATATTGGAGATTTGTATGGGTTCAAATGCTGTGATTCTGCAGAGAATGAAAGGGAACAAAGCTGTCAACTAATTACATTCATCATCCACTTTGTCTCGCAGTAATCTTTCACCACAGATTTGTACAAGATTTCGAGGTTTTCTGGAAGTTTTTTCTTTTGCCAATAATATCTTGTAGTGCTCTTATTTTGTTGAAACGTTAGTCATTTGTCCAGGATTTCAACTGTAATAGATTTGCAGTAGTAAAAAAAAGTCTGTGTTAGTATGCTGAGGTTTCAAGAATGGAAAACTTTGACACTGCTAAGCGGTGTCCTCTTCCTCAGCTGGCTATTTATCCACAATCGAAATATTGATATGCTTATATTGTGCTAATTTTTTGTACCTCCGCCTACCTCCGCCTATTAACTGTTTACACAGTTTCGTCTGTACCGCTCCGCTCTTTGTAGTTGGCCTGTTTATGTTTTTCTATTCCTTCTGATACTGTGAAACAGAACAGATGCTGGATTATATGTATTCCAATGACCGGAAGAGTTTTCGACTACGGTAACGGCTATGTTCGGAAAAATTAATATTTTCAAAATGATTTGCTATAGCAAAAGGGGAAATCACTCTTTTGTTTTGACTCGTTCATTCATGTTCATATTTCTGAATTAATTTGATTTCAGATTTCTAAGGAATATTTTTCGGTGTATGACTAAGGCTGAAACTGAAGCGAGGAATATTACCAAACAAACAGAAGATCCATTCATCCACTGCATTTTTTTGGAAGCCGTCATACTTAAGAACGTATTTCTTCTGAATGACTGCGAAGATATTGTAGTATCCCACACTTTTCAAAGCAGATATCTATCATTTAGGAAATTCGAAATTTCGTTCTTTATCTTTAGAGCAACAGGACTGTCCTATATATTTGTTGTTGTAGTTTATCGAAGTACTACCGTGAGAGCGCAGTGTCTCTTAGGAAGAAACTGCGAATCGTTTTTAATTCTTTACAATGAGACTAATATTTGCTACTATTCGGGAGCGAATAGCAGTTTAAATAACCACTGATCTGTTAGTATTCTTGGTGTCGATCTCGTAGCGCTCACAGGAGCTGGATGTTCTGGAGCGCAGCGGGAGTGGCACGGATCATAAGAGGTCCTTCCGTCGGACCCACCGCCATGACCACTCGGACTCCGCTGCTCTGCTCGATCTTCCACGAACGTCGTCGTCCCGTGGAAAAAAGAAGGCGCGTTACAAATGCATCGTTCAGTGGAACATTGACAAATCTGGTGGTGACGTCTTATTTGGCGGCAAGATTTTTTCACTTCGTCCAGTTTTGATCGTCAATTTTGACAGTCGTCACCACTAAACTTGTGCACATTTTCCATTTATCTGTTTTCTAATGATTAAGGACTGATCTGTATAGAGAATTCTACTTTTGTTCATAACAAGGTAGAAGTTTGCGAGACATTGCCTGGCTAAGAACACTCGAAAGTTTGCCTGGTTGGAAAACTATCAGAAAGTTGAGTCGTTATATTACTAGCCGTATTTATACACGATGCTCCATTATTGACAAATTTGGGCCACTGATTTTATAGCCTCATATATTTGAAGTTGCACGTCTGTATGAGGAAGATTCAGATTCAGATATAAATCTTCCTAACCGTTAATAAAAATATTTCTGGAGAATTTTCGAAGCTGTTATACAAATAGCTAAGATTTCTTTGGTTTTGCCAAAGAAAGGGCTGCGTGGCTCATTTTTCATTATGGTGGAGCTCGTGGATACCGCCAGAGGCAACGTCTCGGTCTGCACCCGTGCCGCATTGTCGTTCAGTACTGGCACCGCTGCATGCGCTCCACAGATTTTTCGATCAAACCCCATGATTTAGTTCTGCAGTCTTTTTTTTGCTGCTATGGCTGTATTTTGAATGTTTTAGCCTATCAAAGCAGTTGACATGCTTTTATCTTTATTTTTTCTGTATTTTTTGGAATGCTTTGTGCTCCAAGGAATGTGTCAAGGTTTGCTTTAAACAGTTTTCGGCTATTCAAATACGCTTCTTGTTGTGCCACGCTTTCGTTTTGCAAATGTAGAGACATTCCCTTCTCAAAGCTGTCGAGTTCTTTTTGAATAGTTCAGTTTTTCTTTCAGCCCATCCTGACTAAAGAAGAGGAGGAACGTATTTTTGCTGAATACCATTACACCGGTGCGACAACAAACATCCATCCTTTGCTGTCTTCGTTGATTAATTACACTCATCCAGTGAAATTCAGCGGTTTCGATGTTGCGGAAAGTGAGTGCTGGTGCTTTAACTTTTCGAGTTCTGAAACTCTTGCATTGAAGCTGCCTTTCCCTACGTTAGTGGTCAGACGCGACTACACCTAATTTTCTGTCGCGCACAGTGCGCGTTGAATTCATGTCATATGGTCTGCGGACAGGGATCGTGTAGCGCAGTGGTCAGTGGCGCCGTGCGACACACATCGATACACATGGGATTGATCTCCTGGCTTTCCATCCCTCCTGAGTCGGTAAATTGGTACCAGACTTATCTGAGAGAATAGCAGTACTCGTTCGACACATCACATCGATAGGTCACCGCAGGTCATTTTAAAGGTCAGATATGCATTCTATCACCTCCAAACGATGTTTAATGAAGTCGAATGTATGCCGCATCTCTCAGGGATTGATCAACGCTGAGAGCCTTTTATCTTTTCAAAGTTTGCTGTGCTGCCCAAAAAACTGTACAAAGTCATCAGCACGCTTTTTGTACTTCTTAGTCGGTAGTGTAGGTAACGAATGGCAGAAAACTGAGGTGTTCATATTGATGCGGTGGAAATACTGTAGTACGTCAAGTATCCCACTTCATCAGCAATACTTTGTGTATCCGACGCGCTTTTAGGAGAAAGTTCCTTGAAGTTTACAAATTTTTAGTTATAGTTTATTTCAGCGTGATGTCCTGAACAACATAAATGATGAAGAAACTTTTGATCGAATACAAAAAGTTTGACAAGGGAACTTTGTGCAGCAAAATGAACAGCCGGAGTGAAAGTGCAATTGTATCTCATCTTTATATGTACGGTAATTACCCGTAGTTACCTTTGGAAAAAACGAAGCCATAGTGTAAAACAATAAAAGGATAAAAAGTTCTCTTCGTTCATCAATTCCTGATGGGTGCGCTGTGCATTTGACTTTATTAAGCATCATTCGATGTGATTGAAAGCATATCTAACCTTTACAATGACTCGCGGTGACCTACCGATGTATAGAGCGAGTGCTGCTATCCTCCCAGACAAGTTTGGTACCAATTTGTCGACCCCGGAGGAATGGAAGGCTTGTTGGGCCATGGGAGCAGTGATCGATTCCACGTATGTGTTGCAGTGCGCCTCCGACCAGTGTGCTACACTTGGGTAAAACAATAAAATATGAAAATTCCTTCAAGAGCAAATTCTCAGGGCATTCTTGTCAACATTAGAGTGGGTAAATTTTCCTTACTATGAAACATTAATTTCAATCCAGTACGTGATTATTGTCTGTGTGTCACTGATTTTCAAAAAATCCGTCCCATTCATTTAATGTTGTTGCACATTTTCAGGCAATAATCTTCATTTCCACATGTCTTCCTTCTCTGAATCAACAGGACTTGGATATCTCAAGCAATGTGCTCCCGAGTTCGTCAATTACAACAAGCGCCAATTGAGTAGAATATATCCGAAAGGTGCAAGGGTGGATTCGAGTAATTTTTTGCCACAGGTCTGTTACAGTACTATCTCTGAATCTTCTATCTACTTTTATCTACTGTTTTTTTTCTGGATTTCATTCAGTATTAATGATGACAACGGTTTGATTTCGTTGTTCAAGGTAGTTCGAATATGTATAAACTCTAGATCTTTTGGAATGCTGGTTGCCAAATGGTAGCGCTTAATTTCCAAACTCCGGATGTTTATATGCAACTAAACATGGGCAAATTTGAGTACAATTCTGGTTCTGGGTATGTTAAATTCATGTTTACTGTCACGTGCCTTATTTGGCAATGATAGCTCGTGACGGAGTAACGTATTGGGTAAAGTTACCAATTTGAATGGAATTCAAGATATTTGCTGAAGCCGGACTTTATGCGTCGACCTGACAGGACGTTCGATCCGTTCTCGGAGTCTCCTGTTGATGGTGTGATTGCTGCCCACTGCAGTGTTCGAGTAGGTCGAAAACTGTCAAATCTGCAATCTTCAATGTAGGTGGTTTGAACTCCTAAACTCCTGTATTCTTAGGTTATTTCGGGACAGTTCTTGACTGACAGGAAAGTCGGCACTTATGTTGAGGTAGAAATGTACGGACTACCTACCGATACAATCCGGAAGGAACACAGAACTAAAGTTATTCCTGCAAATGGACTTAACCCTGTGTACAACGAAGTTCCATTTGTGTTTAGGAAGGCTAGTACTTTTGATAGACGTCACTTCTCTTCCTCATTATCTGCTATTAACGCTTTTTTATTGTAGCTCATATGTCTGTGGTAACGTGTTTTCTACTCTACTGACAAAATTTGTTCTAGGGATTTTTGCTAATTCTTTTTGCGAAATGGTAGCTTGGAGTTAGCAGTGTTGGCGCACTAGTGACGTGGTCGTTCTAGGTCGTGTTGCCAGAGTTGGCCGTTTTGAGGTTTGCCGTGTACGATGAAAACGGAAAGCAATTGGGTCAACGTATTTTACCTCTTGATGGTCTTCAAGCTGGCTATAGACACATTTCCTTACGCTCAGATACAAATCAGGCATGGATGAGCTTTTAGTTTTAACATTTCATGATCGGCTTCCTGTGTTTGCAATTTTAATTATGCGCTTTAGACCATGGTCCTCGCTCCAACCTTGTTTGTACATATCGTTATCAAAACTTACGTTCCTGACGAATTAAGCGGTGAGCAAATTTCCTTTTCTTACTGAGCCACTTAGATTTGTTAACGTTTACAGGAATGGATCCTATTTTAGGTTTGGTAGACGCTTTGGCGGACCCTAGAGCATATCTTTCAGAGCAAAAGAAACGGCAAGAAGCACTTGCACATATGGGAGTTGATGATAGTGACATAGTTGAGGTACGTCTACTTTTCTTTACGGAATGCTTCCACTTTGGTAGCAGCCGTGGTGGTATTTCAGATCGCCCTATGCCACGAAAAAAGAGTAGACAGGAAATGATGGTCGAAACGTATCCATTAATTCTTTTCAGGTTCCCACTGGGAAATCTCTGTCTACGAAAACTAAAATGCTGCAGAAAACTAATGGGTCAACAGTCAACTTACTCATGGAGTAAGTCTTCGGTTTTTTAAATATTTATCTATCTTATGAAAATATTTTTCCACTTGTTGTGATATCGGATTCACTTCTGTTCTTGTCCAGTTCTTAGTTCACCCACTAGAATTTTATGGGAACAGAGTTTGTAGCAGTTGAACTGAGAGCTTTATATCAAAGAACTTCTGTTATACTATAACAACTGTTCTTCTGTGTTGAGGGATACATATTATCTCTATCTTTTTTTTTAGAAAAGAAAACCCACCATCTGCTCGATCAGAAGGTTGTGGAGCGACATCTGGAACATCAAAAGCCAACAATGATGCTTTACCTGCAGCAGTCGACAAGTTCAAGGTTAGCGTGTTTGTGACGTTCCGATCGATTGTGATGATCGATTCACTTCTCTGTGCTTCTTCTTTTGTGATTTACATAACCACATTGTACAGCCGTTTTCATTGGAAGCGTCATTTAAACGCTCGCTTGTACGAGGTAGACATGGAGAAACGTCGACGCATCTGTCTGCTCCGGCTTACACAAGGAAGATTAGTGCAAGTTCGGCAACGGTGACATTCAACTCGTCTATGAGACGTCCAAAAGCAGAGGACAAATTACAGGTGGAAGAGCTGCACACTCCCAGTCGGAATGTACACTGATTTTATTGTCATGACTCCAGTTTGTTCAATGAGTACCTTGATCCATCTATGTTTACCATCATTTCACTATTCCCCAGATCCCAGATTGTCTAAATGTTGCATCTAGTATATATGATATAGTTTTTCTATTTAAAAACTTTTTTCTAGGTTGATCCTATTGACGTTGACGAATTGAAAAAGGACAAGCTGTTTACTAAGCTCTTGAAGAAATTGCAGAAGGATAGCGAAGATTTAAAGAAGAAACACCAGAAGCAGCGCGAAAGTATTCAAAAGCAGCAGGTTTGAACAAGTTTATGAATTTCAAGGTGCTACTAAGTCTGAACAGGGACAATTAACATGTCTTTAAATTACTGAGATTACACGAAGTTCATAAGTATTCATTTCGGCTAAGGTTGTTGTCTGTCTGTCTGTTTTGTCTTTAATTTAAAGACATGTTGATTATTTCATTACCGAGGTTAAATAATGGTCGGTTTGAACATCGTTCTGAGCAGACATTTTTATTCTTTGTGTCTCGGTTAAAAACTTAATATTCTAAGTGATGGTGAGCATAGAAGTTTGCAGCAATGCAGAACTCCCTCAATGGCTTGGATTGTAAGTTTTTTTCATGTGCAGAAGTTGGCGCTTTTCTTCCTTTGCTTCAGTTATCAGTAATATCTTACTGTTTCTTTCACATGTTGGCGATTGTGCTGGTTTTCTCGTTAATTTTCCAACACTAATTGAAGACACTAGAGTTTGACAAATTTATGAACGCAAAGGCATATTTTTTATATTGTTGTTTAGCAAAACTTGAGGTGCTATTTTACTTCTTTATTCACGAACAAGCTGTCTCGGCAGATTTCGCCTTCTTCACAGCCTGAAGAGGTCATGGTGACCACAATCTACCCCTCCAAACACGTCCATAACCAAACAGAGAAAATTCTAAACCAAGATTTCAATCACATTGACCACGGAATAGCTTCTTTGCACACTCACTGCCTTCTATGAGTCTTCTACTGAATCCGTCATTTGGAGACCAACCGCGGTCAACTTGACCTTTCAGACTGCGGTAGGCGAGATCCGCTGAAATGTCAGCTTATTCGTGAATAATTATGTAAAATAACACACGTTTGCTCAACAAGAATATAAAGAGTCGTTAGATCAATGCCGATGTTAATAGAAAGTCGGTCGTGAAAAGTAATTCAATGGTGTATATAGATTTTGCAGGATATTTTGATTTTTATTTTATTGAAAAAGGTGAATTTTAATGGTGTGGAAAGTTTTTATTTTCTTCACACTGCATGACAACTGGCATTACGAACTGCGAGCATCAACGACAAAAAGAAAAATGAGAAAAAAAAGTATGAAACAAAAAAAGAAAAAGCACATGTTGACAAACATACGTAGGTTTTAATAATTTTTTCCTCCTTTATTTTCGTTTAGCAAACACGTGGTGGTATTTTATTTCTTTACTTACAAGCAAGTTGACGTTTCGACGAGTTTAGCCTTCGTTAGAGCCTAGAAAGGTCAAGTTGACTGCAACCCATCCAGCCAAACACCTCTTTAACCAAACAGAAAGGTGAAAGGGGAAGTTATTTAGGTGTTTAGCCTTTGTAGATTGCGATCAATTCGACCTTTCCAGACTCTGGGGAAGGCGAAATCCGCCGAAACGTCAACTTTTTCGTAATAAAGAATAACAGTAACTTCTCGTGTTTGTTCAACAAGAATATAAAGAATTGTTCGATCGGTGCCGACGTTAATAAAAAATCAGCCATAGGAATTTTCTTTCGACGAAGTTCACTACAAACTGAAATATGTTTGTTTTCGGCCCCAAATCAGTTGAAATTAGTTGATGTCACTGTGAATGTGTCAACCGCTATCACTTTATAAACATAACTGGTTGGAACATAAATCAGTTCATACAAAAACATTAGGTCGTCTGCCATGTTTCAGTGGGACGTGCGTTCTGTTGTTTCATATTGTGGCGTGCTATTACCACTATCTAACTGCGTTCATATCCAGTTTCGGTTTTGTGAAGCTGAATATGTATCGTAGGATGAAGTGGTGTCACTCCAGAAACGGTAAAGATTATGATTATTGCTTGATCGTAACGTTTCAGCAAACGAATGTGGACAAATTAATAACGAACAATCGTCGATCAATGAAGAAGGAAAAGGGTACACGTCGCCAAACCAGCGAAAATTTGGATGCAGCAGGAGCCAGTGATATAGCGACTAACGATCGAGTAAGTAATTCGTCTACCTATGGAAACAATTAGATCTAGACCATTTTCACCTTATCGTAGTGCCGTCTTGACAAGAGAGAACAACTCAGTTTCAATCAATGCTCTTATCACTGTACAAGATGAAAGAAGATACTTCAATTCCACAAGGACGCGCATGGTGTGGTGGTGAACGCGTTAGCTTCCAGAAAGGGTAACAGCGCATTCGTTCCCCATCGCAGGCACCTGCACTCTGGAGTTTTGCAAATGTCTCTTCATGATATTGGTTGATTTTGCAACTTTTTTATCCATTATTTGTCGTTTAAGCCTTAAATTTCTTGCATTGAGCTATACGTAAAAGCAGCGTAGGTGGCAAACTGGAAAACAGCAACAGAAGTCCAAACTCCTCATCTAATCGAAGAATGTAGGTATAGTGGCAATAATTCGATGTTTTTCTTCAATAAGTAGACACGAGGTTGTTATTATAGGATTTATTATTATTATAGGATACAATAGCTGACGTTTCGGCGGTTTGGCCTTCTTCAGAGCCTGGAAAGGTCAAATTGAGATGAGATCTACTCAGCCAAACACTTTCATAACCCCAGCAGATAAAACTTGACAAATAAATTTGTATTCGCATAAGAAACAGCTTCGTTCAAACACCTATCGTTTATTTGTTGTAAGTATTTAAGTTGATGGATAGAAGCCGCATAGAGTAATACATGGGCGATAATTGTGTCTGTGTCAGGTCATTGGATCAGCCTGAGGTATGGCGCCAGGTCACGCGTGATGACAAGACACTCCTCCTTGCGGTTCATCTTTGAATTTTTGGCATTGATTCAAAACGCTTCAAGAGTTTTACGCGCTAATGTTTTCGATTCGTGCGTAAGGATAGCGACTCCTTCTTCAAAATCTTCTCCGTTGTGTTCCTGCATCCTAGGCTCGCCTAGTGTTAATTCGGTTAACGTTTACGGACTAGGTGTTCTTTTATGCGGACGCAGAGCGGTCTACCCGTTTCGCCAACGTATTCGTCCCCGCACGCTTTACATGTGATCAGATAGACTGTACCCGAACTCATGCAATCACCGTCTCTACCGTCAGGGCAAATTATGCAGTTTTTCGTTATACATAGACAGTTATATAGGCGGTTGCGAACTAGCTGATGTTTTAGGGTGTCCGATGGTATTTCTATCACTCTTACGGAATTCTCTGGACCGATCCTTATTAAGCAACATTTTTCTTTTGGAGAAGATTTTGAATTAGGGGTCTTATCCTCACGCAGGAATCGAAAACCTCAGAGCGTAAAACTCTTGAAGCGTTTTGAATCAATACCAAAAATTCAGAAATGAACCGTAAGGATAAGTGTTTGTCATCACGCGTGACCTGGCTCCATAACTCAGGCTAATCCAATAACCTCACACAGGCACAGTCCTCGCCCGTGTATTACTCTGTGCAGTTGCTATCCACCAACTAACTTAAATACTTACAAAAAATAAACGATAGGTGTTTAAATGAAGGTGTTTCTTATGCGAATACAAATTTATTTGTTAAGTTTCATCTGCTAGGGTTATGAAAGTATTGGGCTGAGTAGATCGCATCTCAATTTGACCTTTCCAGGCTCTGAAGAAGACCAAACCGCCGAAACGTCAGCTATTGTATCCTAATAAATTCTGTGATAACACCCTCGTGTCTGCTTATTGAAAAAAAACACCGAATTATCAATCAATGCCGAGGTTAACAGAAAGCCGGTTTTGGGAATAGTGGCATTACTAGGTAGACATTTTCAAAAAAAAAAAACTTATTTCCAGGTTCGAACTCTCGTTACTGTGCAAACGGATGAGTGGTCGGCAATGATGAGACGACATGAGATAGAGGAGTTCGAGTTGAGAAAAGCACAGTTGCGTGAGCAGACTGAGATTCTCAGGTAGTTGCGCACGCTGTTTGTAAAGCTTCATAGGCAGTGAACGGGGTGGTCGTTAACAGTGAGATTCTATGTTTCGTCTTTGCCGCACTTAATTGACTTTTAATTTTTTCCAAGTTAATCTGTCATCCTTTCTCAACGGTTTACCACCTTGTCGTGGCTGGGAGGTGTTCCTTGGTGTTGGGCTGCGATGTACAGCGGAGATTCATCATCCAGCAAGGTCTCCCAAGCTGATAGCTGAGTCCGGTGTTTCCACCAGGAAATTCAGCTGAGCCTAAACCAATACCAGAATCCACCATCATCTTGGTATCAAACTGGTGGCATGGTAGGAAATTTCCCTCATCCACAAGGGTGGCGAGTTCCTGTGGTGGTAGATGACTTGGGGCAGACTTTGGCCATGCTGTTCTTGGAACTTCAGTGAACCACAAAAGTTAACCCAGCAAATCTCAGAAGAATGGAAATTACACTGGAGACCGCACAGCCATTGAAGATGAGCCATCCAAGTATCCAAGTAAAATCTGGTCTTCATGGAATTGGCTGCTTTCCTTTTCCTATCTTTCATTTCAAAACCGATTTTTATACATATATATCTTCAGCGCTTGTCAGTTTTTCGTTTTTTGTTTTGGTTTTCTGCGTGCTTTCGAAGTTCTTCGATGAGTTGTAAATGTCGAACATTTGTGTATGGTTACTAGTATCTTTCAATTACATGCGGTTACAATAATTCATTGTAGTGACTAAATAATACAAAACGTAGTTGCTGTTTAAAATTGATTTTCTTGTGTTCAACACAGAATAGACGATATTGGTTTTTCTACAACTTTCTATAATTTGTCGACAATGTCAATATGTAGAAGAAACCTTGCTCTATCAGTTTAAGGGTGCATTTCAGTACTCCTGCACTTCATGTCCTATATAAGACAAGTTTTGGGAGCTATAAAATCATTTCAGTGTTTTAAAATGTTAAGACCAGTGGTGGTAGAACCACTTTTGGTCGAAATTCTATTTGTTCAGTTGCCTCGCTATTCGAAATGCGAGCCTTACTAGGAATGCTGAAAACGCTTCCTTTTGAGATTTCAGAATTTTGATGAAATAGGATTTCATCTTCCTAGAACGGTAGAGCTTCTATCTTTTTCTTTATAAAGGTGTGCGGATTCTGTTGATTTTTACTTAAATAAATAAAGTACACAGCACTCTGAGGTGAGCTCGTTCAATGTTGAAGTGCTGAATTACATGCATTCATTTGGGAATAGAGCCTGGTTCAATGAGCCGGTAAATGGATCGCGGGATTAGTTGTCGTAGCGGTTGAAAATGGGGTGCGTGCAGCAATGTGGTTAGAGATACTCTGCACTACACATAGGATTCATCTCGCATCCCAGGCTCTGGTTTGTTTGAGAAGGTAACACTAACTCGATGCATCGGTAGGCCACAGCTAATCATTATATGGGCCAGATATGCATTCAGTCAGCTCTGATGATGCTTGATGAAGTCGAGTGCATGGCACATCCCCCAAGAATTGATCAATGACGAGAGTTTTTTTTTAGAGAGCAGTTGGAAATGAGGGAACAGTCAGTGTTTTGAAAGTTCGATTTAAGAAGGGAGTCGACTGGGCAGTCCCACTCGTAACAGCATGGCTCTGAGGAAGGCGAAATCGCCGAGAAGTTAGTCGTCGACGAACAACAACAACGGCGACAACAGCAGTTACCAACAACGGGAACTTCTACCAATTTTGAATCAGCTCAACAGGGGCAGTTGATAAGAACATACAAATAAGAAGAGATTGTTAGAGTCCCAATCTGGTCAATGAATGCAATCCTTTTGCTCCTCAATTTAGGGGGTGGCATTGATAAGACAGCCTTGTAGAATGCTAAGCTGGTTGTTAAACTTGTCGACAAAAATTGCTAACGAATCTATAGTTATGGAAAGAATGTCTGTTTTTATGGGTGCATCGAGCTATGTAGAGGAAGAGTAGCATTCCGGCAATATATTCCATACATCAAGTTCAAGTACTATACAAAGGTATTCTAATTGTGCCTTTAAGGAAGCTAAACATCCACAACTACAGTGTATACCAACGGAAGTGTTTACTGGGATTAGTTATGGTGGCTATCAATGGTGATTAACTGGATCAAGGAATGTACGTATGAACCGGCCGATATTAATATATGAGTGTCTTGTTGGTTGAAATCTTGCTCCAGAGAAAGATATGTTTGATCGGCGATCGTATTAGGGACGGTAGAGGAGAATTCAAGCAGGTTATCCAGAAGAATCCGTTGAGAGGACGGTAGTTCTGATAGAACCGGCGCGGTATCATGGTTCCGAAATGCAAAGATAAAAAGATATCATGTTGTCCACGCCAGATGTAGCAATCCTTTTCACCAATTCAACAAGATACCAGGTTACGAAAGATACAACCATGGAAAGCTCTTTGTGAGCACAGGCTACCGGATGGCACCATATTCTTCGCATTTCAAGAGAACTAGCAACTGATACGTTATTTTTGTCTTCTTGAATGTATGGATGCATATTTCCTTTTCCTTATCTCTTCATAGTTCGTATGTTTTCGGTTTCAAAGCTGTAAAGTTGTATCCTAGGTATGTAAACAGTAAAGATCGCGGAGCGCGATGATTGCATTGTTAGTATGGAGATACTAATTATAGAACTTCTAGGTTGCAGAGATTGTAAATAATATGTAACAAAGGGTTGATTGTAAGGAACCCAGGCTGTGAAATAAATCTATTTGAAGGCAATGTTTGTAGTAGTAGTGGAATGTTACGGTAATAAGAGTGATGGAAACGCCGGTTTCTTTACTTTGGGAGAGTCTTCCGGGGGAATAAATCCCACCGCTGTACGTCGCAGTCCAACACGTAGGAACACCTCCCAGCCTTGATCAACACCGAAGTCGTTTAACTACTTTAATTACTATGGTTCTGATGGCTCTCGGTATACAACTGTACTACATCTACATCCGTACGGACCTCTTCCATGATGTGGAAAATGTCATCTTATAATGGAGAAAAAGTGTCTCCATTTGGTGAGCTTTAGTGTTCAAGTAGGGACTCTTCAACGGCTAGTGTATGTGATGGATAATGTGTTCACTTGCAGCATCCTCTTATCGCTAAGTGGACTCCTTTGAAAAGCAGGTTTTTGTAAAGTATCAAGTGTAAAATGGCTTTTATTGGCCACCGTCCTGCGCTGTGATCTTTGTTTGATGAACTGTTGCCTGAATATGAAAAGTTATAGCTAAAAAACTGAAGCGAAGGAAAATGGCACAAGGGAAATGAGTTGGTATCAATTACACACTCGCCCCCTCTCTCTCCTCTCTCTCCCTCTCCCCACCCTGCCACCTTAATTAGTAAAAATTCATTCTGTTTGACCCTGAGTGTTAAATGTCTTTGCCTTTTCTAGTTTCTGTAGCTTATTGAGAATAGCACTGAACTGAATGGGTCGCGCTAATACTTATTTTATGTTTAATTTTAGGAAGCTTCTACTTGAAGCGCAGAAAGTGCAGATGCATGGTCTAAAACTTCGACTGGAGAGCGAAACGAAGGAGCTGAAACTAGCCCAAACAAAAAAGAGTATGGAAGATGCGAAAGTTCTCAGTCTCGTTGGTTTCTTGCTTACATTAGTGCGACTGTTTTGCTACTGAGTTTGCTATTGATTTTAAGGACAAGGGAATAAAAACAAAAGCGGAGCGTGAACGTCGTCTTAAAGAACTGCATGAAAAGAATCTGAAGATGTTTGTCGAAGAGAGGAAAAGATTAGCGAAAAAGTGCGGTTCTTTTTTATTTCTTGGTTCATTTCTTCTTGTGAACATATATACGTATATATGTATATGTATATATATATATATATATATATATATATATGTATATATATATATTTTAAGAGCCGAAAAGCATGAAGAACAACTAGCGAAACGTCATCAAGATCAACTTGAGCATCTTGATAGGGAAGCTCTACATGCTCTTGAGCAGGAAGAAGCTAATTTCAAGGAAGATCAGTTGTCCTCGAAGCCGGCATCAATTGTATAGTCTAAGGTTGCTGTAGTTCCTCAGTTTTTCCATTCTGAATTTCTTACCACTCTTCTGAATCGGCCAAATTGTTTCTTTTTTCATATTCCCATTCTCGTAGTTCCCTAGTCCCGGTACTGTTCTGTATTTAGAGGCTGTTTGACGCTCTGAACACATCATCTGTGATTTCTTAAGGTCGACATCGAATGCTCACTGTCGTATGGTCTCTCTTGATGCCGATTAATTTGCCGTTTAGTAACTTTTTCATAGTCGTCGCCTACTTACATTGTCTTTAGAGTTCCGTCGTTTTTACAATCGTCGTTGCTCTTAACCTCCAAATTGCAGTTCCTTGTACAACGCAATTACTGTGGACCACGATTGTATTGTATTGGATTAACAGTTATTTCTAACGGTTGCTAAAGACTATCTGGTTGGAAGGTCTACCATATAGTCATTTCAGATTTAATATGCTATATTTTTATTCCGTATTTCCATTTTTTCAGGAAGTTTTTTGTCTCTTACACTGCTTCAAGAGCTCGTAATTAGCCACGTTTTGCCCTATCCGGTATGTATCTTCCTGTGACCTGTTGAGTTGGTATTCTTATCTTAGATCTTTTAACAGTTATTCGATGATCAAAAACTAACTTTCCTTTACGGGATTTCACTTTTCCAGTCTTCATTCGTTCAGACATCATTCCATTCAATAGGTGATTATTAAGCTACTTAATAGCAACCGCTGTTTCTCATTTTGATATGATTTAGTGTACAATTTAACTATAGCGAGATTGTTCATGGAGATCTATGAGCGATATATTGAGACGGTTAAATAATTATTTTATTTTCGCTCCTTAGTTATGAACTATGGAATGCGTAATAATATTTGTACATGAAGAAAATGTTGGGAACTACTTGATTTTTTTTTGGGATAAATTCTTTTTGGAAAGGCATGGGTATACTTGATGCGTGAGGAAATGAAGGACTTCAAAGCTATCCTGGAGCTTCCAAAATGCGGTCAGTTGATGCTTCATGTACGGTTCGTTACTGATTTCGTACAGTTCTGAACCATGACTAAGCGTTTGGGGGTTTCCATAGTAATCCTTTTCTAGATTTATGCTTATGTCCATGTAGGGTGAACATTATTTTGCTGGAGATCAGGGCAGCAGAATCGCGTAAAGTACATGGTTTGGAAGATAACCTTTATTTCCCTTAGTTGTAGTCATCAGCTTATACAACTCTAAAAACTGTTGGAAAACACTGGGTAGGTACACAGTTGTGAGTCCATACAACAATTGTATGAGTAACAAGCAAAGTATCGGTGAAATAGTCATTAGCAAAATAATAAGCTCTTTGGTGGGATAGTTTTCGAAGTCTGGATTGAAGAAGCGCGTCATTGTCTTGGATCGACTTTGGCGTTATCAATCCATTAATCTCGTTTGACTATTTCAGAGGATCTGTGGAATTTGTTAGAGTATGGGCAAAAAGCGTTTGTTTAGAATTTAAAATGACAGGCGTGGTATTGTAATACAAGTCTGGCGTATTCTTTCCATGTGTTGTTTCAGATGGACTGATTGTTCAATTTTGAAAATTTGTGTATTTTATAATAGGACGATCCGTGTTTACTAGTAGTATGGGTCCCAGCACATCGTCGATTCGTTACTTGCGCAATAGTCGCAAGGTCTCCCACGCTGAGGAGGAGTTTGGCTTTTAAATCAGAAGGCCCAGTTAAGAGTAAACCAATACCGGGAGCTACCACAGTCCTGGTACCAAACTTGTCGCATGGCGGCAAATCTCCCTCTGATCCACTAGGGCTGTGACTGCATGTGGTGGTGACGACCTGGGGCACACTTTGGCTAGGCTGGCCTTGGAACTCCATGGAAGCAAAATGACGAAACCTCCAAAAAGTGGAGATTATGCTGGGGCCCTTACAACTAGTGAGGACCGCCGTTCAAGTATCCAAGTAAGAAATTGTTTCCAGATGTCCGCACATCGTTTAAGAAGACGCCTCAATTGCACTAGTTTGTGGTCTTTTGGAGATGCCGGATTGCTGTCCAACCTGCTCTTCTTCTTCTATCTAATTCCTCCATCTTGTTCTACATATTCATTGAACGGCAGATGCTTTCTGTAATCGGAGGACAATTCAGTTTGATTTGTTCACAGTAGTTTTTCATGAAGTGATTTATGCATTGTCCGATCTTTTTTTTCCGTTTCGTTTAGCTCACTGACCATTGTCTCTGTTTCACTGGTACTGTTTGAGGTGGCGATGTTGTCGGTGAAACGAGGACTTGTTAAGAATTTTCCACCAATACGTATGCCTTTCTCATCACAATTTGGTGACTTCATTATCCACGGTAGTAAATAATTTTGGCGACATTGTGTCACCTTGCCGAATACCTTTTCCTGTAGGTATGGTGAGGGGTCGATGAAGAAGCTGGAAGCTCGTGCTGCAGTTCTGATAATAGTCAGATAGAGTTTTTATGTAGGATAGGTCCATTCCTTTGTCGAGCGCTGATAGGACTGCATTCCGTTTCGGCGCTACCAAATGCTTTCTGGTAGTCGATGAAGGTTAGGGCAAGAGATAGACTGTACTCTCGAGAAACTTCTATGACCTGTGCTACGGTTTGGATGTGGTCCATGTTGCAGAATCATTGTTGGAATTCTGCTTTTTTCAACTGGTTGACCGCTTGTAGATTATACTCAACAGGAATATCGGATGATAGTTACAACGGTCATTTCGGTCTGGATGAACATGTACGAAGACTTCCACTGGCTTGGGGTTTTCTCGTTTGGGATCTAGGATTTTATATGGGTCGTGATAACTACATTTTGTTTATAATTCGAATGAAGCCGACTATGATATTATCAATTCCTGGAGCTGTACCTCTTTCCATGTTTTCTATCGCAGCTCGAAAGCTCGAATACTGAGGGATCCTGGCTGTTTCTCCATCGGATAATTCGGAGTGCGCGACGGGGATTGCGAAATGGAAAATGTTACAGTAGAACTTTTCGGCTATCAATTCCATATCATGGCGAGAACTTTAGGTGGTCCTATCTTCGCTCGTGAAGGGAACGTGGAGCGCAGTGGTCGGGACCGCTCTGCAATACACATAGGATCGATCTCCGCGTCCGAGGCCAACCAATCCTTCCATCCTGCGGTGTCGGCAAATTGATATTTGTCCAGGAGGAGAGCAGCACTGGCTAGATACATCGGTAGGCCACCGAGAGTCATTGTAAAGGCCAGATATATATTCAATCACCTCCAGCGATGTTTATTGAAGTCGAATGCATGGCGCATCCCTCACGGATAGATCAACTCCAAGAGTTTTATCCTTTGTCCTTTATTTTCGTTCATCAGGGGTGATAACGGAACATTGTATTCGCATTCCGATGATATTTCTTCAGACTGTTTTTTTTGTGCTGCTTCTTACATTTCTTGTGCCTGTGCCGACGTAAATTCTTTTCTAAAGGTATTCTGAAACTAGCATTTGTTAACAGCCGTGTTAGGTTTGTCGCAAAAGGATTAAGCTTTAGTTTCTTGCTCATTTAGAACAACTCCTTACTGGTGGTGGAGTTGCAGCCTGAACCTATTTGTGAAACTGAGGCCAGTTTTGGACAACTTTTAAATCCGTCGAATAACAGCTCGTAATGATCGGTAGGATTTTCTTTAATATGCCGCTCACGTTTGGATAGCATTTTGTTCAGAATGTTCTTGTCATATACAGCTTGAATTTGTCCCCGTGATCCACGACGTGAATTTTTTTCCAGCTTACAGGTCAAGTAGTCATACGGAAAAGGCGGTGGTAGAATCGGGTGCAGAGTCCAGGTATCACTGAGATGTTAAAGAGACTCCATCCTGTGTTCGCGAATGTAGTCGATTTCAGCATGAGTTATACTATTTGAATACTCTCATACTTATCGGCAGTTTTTTCTGTTTGAGAAAAATGAATTCGTATAGAAGAGACGCACCGTCGAATCGTGCAAGACGGTTTGTATTCTCATTTGGATCTCTTGTGCAGAGTTTTTCTATCGTGTTCATTTTCGTTGGCGGTTCATATTCTGTCATTGTAGTCTACAGTTATAGAAAGACTTTTCGTTGTGGATTACTTTCTCCAACTGGTTGCAGAATGCATCGCGTTTGCTCCTATCTCTACAGCGATTGATGAGTAACAGATAAATTCTGCAACCAGGTGGAGATTGGTGTTACTGACGTTCTTTTGAAGAGGAGGTTCGAGACGAGGAATGGTCAGGCAAGGTGATAGGATCATATATGAGATCTGATGGGAAAAGGATGCCTGGTGCCGCGAAGCCAACGGTACCGAGATTTCGTAACGGAATTACATCTCGATGAATGGCAAGAGTTCAGTCATCGTCGTCGCATACGTCGGTATTCCCGATTTCTATTGCTTCTAGGGCGATCACACGGATTTGATGCGGCCAACGGCTTAATGAAATCATCATCTAATGAGGCTGTTCTGGTATTAAAGGTGCAGAGCAAGAAGCAGTCTCCATGGCATGTTCTCCTTCTCATTTCGTGAAATCCTGCTGGTGAATAACTTTCGTCGTACATCGCAATCCTGCAACCAGTAACACGCTCCATCCACAATAAGGTGATAAACGATTGGCAGGTTAGTGTAGGTCCAGGAATGAGCAGCAAAATCAATGTGGATTCCACTTGGCCGTTGAATAAAGCGATAAATTTGTCCAATTCTAATAATTCTGCGGCGGGTAAATTGTGTTCTAGACGAGTACTAAGACCTGATTTTTTACACCTATGATCACCTATATCACCTGTAGCCCCGTTGATTGTCGAGTGACTCGGGTGCGTGCCAGTAAATCTTCCATTTTTCCCTCTCGCGTGCAAGAGTAGCCCAGTGGGTTATGCTCGCTCTAGGGACTCGTCGAGCATCATATCTTTCTTCTAGGCTCCTCGTGAAGAACTCTGACCATCGGGTCGGTGGTCTTCCTTCAGTACGTTTGATATCCCGAGGAATCCAGTATTTTGCACGAAGGAGACGATGGTCTGA